CCATGCCCCTGTGGACAACCCCTCACCATGCCCCTGTGGACAACCCCTCACCATGGCCCTGTGGACAGCCCCTCACCATGCCCCTGTGGACAGCCCCTCACCATGCCCCTGTGGACAACCCCTCACCATGCCCCTGTGGACAACCCCTCACCATGCCCCTGTGGACAACCCTCATGAAACACATTGGGACACATTACATACATATGTGAAAATACCATCACAAACCATTATATCATATAAATAATATGGAAGAGTGCGAGGACGGCTCAGTGAGCAAGATGCTTGCTGCACAAACAGAAGGATCTGAGTTTGGATCCCCAACACCCATGTAAAACCTGACAAAGCAAACACATCTGTAACCCCAGCACTGGGAGGGCTGGAGACAGGTGGATGCCTGGAGCTCACAGGCCAGCCTAGCAGGGACAGTGAGAGACCCTTCCTCAAAAGGTAAGATGGGGGAATAATTATGGTAGGCATCCCAATGCACCAAGTGCACGAGTGCATGCTCTCTCACACACACACAAATGCACGCTTGCAGCATGCACACACATACCTACAAAGTAGGCTTTGGTTAATTTCCTGAGCACAGACAGAGGTAAAAATTATTCATTGATGGCCACTATTGCATCTTAAGTCCGGGCCAGGTAGAAAGAGTCACCAGAGACAATGGGTCTGCAGGCCAACAGCAGGTCATTTGGGTAGGAATCCCAACTGAAGAGACTTGAATACCTTGACCATCACTTGGTCAGAGCATCACCCTGTGGGTCCTGCACACCATTCAGGACTTGAGGCCAAGAGCATCTCCAGCTCATTAACTTAAAAACATAAGGACAAGCTCTGGGGGTGAGGATGAGGATTCATGTTTACCTTGACCTGGGAGATGTGGTTTTTTAAGTGCTCCCAGCCTAGACATAATACATAAAACCCACTGTGGAGACGTAGCCCGGGCAACCAGAGTAAGCTGTTTTTTTTTCCCCCTGTTAGTGCAGCTCTGTCACTTGAACATGATGGTGGCAGGCTGCGTAATGTTGACAGTTGTAGACTATGTGCCAAGTTTTGACAGCCACTGCTTGGCCAAAACTCACAGTGGCACAAAGGAGTGATGTCCTGTGTTTTATAAGTGAGAGAGGTATTCTCAATATTCAACCTCATTTGGAAAAGTCTACCTCAGGGCTGGGGGTGTGGCTCAGTCTGTAGGGTGCTTGCCCAGCATGCATGAAGATCCCCAGCCCCACACAAACCAGCGTTAGTGGTTCCAACACTCAGGAGGTAGAGGCAGCAGGATCAGAAATTCAAGGTTATCCTTGGCTACATAGTGACTTCTGGGCCATCCTGCAAACAAGTGTCTGTGGAGCAGGCAGTGAGATGGCTCTCAGTAAAGGCGAATGCTGCCCAGCCTGATGACCAGAGTGTGATCTCCAGGCCCACATGGTAGAAGGAGAGAACTAACTAGAAACTTGTCCTCCGCTCACAACACAAATGTGCATACACAAGTACATGAAATAAACACATTAAAAGGTCATAAAAATATAAAGCCCAGAGCACTATTCTTAGATCAATTACAGATCACTACCTTCCACACAGCCAGGAATAATGAATAATGTTAAGTCACAGGGTGGGGAGCTGGGTGTGGTGATGTATGTGATGTACGGATGTGGTGATGTGGGTGATGTATCCCAGGACTTAGACTAATGCAGGAGGATCTCCAGGTCTAGGCTGGTCTACACTACCTAGCAAGACAAACAGAAGCAAACAAAAACAAGCAATAGCAACAACAAAAACTCAGAGCCAAGAAAGTCCTGACTGCAGAGATGGCTCAGTGGTGAAGAACAGTTACTGCTCTTGTTGATGGCCTGAGTTTGGTTCCCAGCACCATCATCAGGCAGCTCCAGGGGGTCTAAGGCCGTCTTCTGACCTCCATGAACACCGTATGCAGGTGGCATACATACACACAGGCACACCCAAATAAAAATAAAGAAGGCCGCTGTTTATCAATGTAAGCATTATGAAGAACACAGAACAACACTGAACAATGAAGTCAAGTGGGGCCCAGCTAGTTCAGTCTGTAGCGCATGAGACTTTTAATCTCAGGATCATGGGTTTGGGCCCCACATTGGGCAGCAGGTATGGAATATTATTAAGGACCAGCCTTAATAATATTCTTCCTAGGGGCCCAGGAGAGAAACTACAAACGCCAAGAATTATTTTCGGGAAAAGAATCTCAGCACACTGAGCCCTTAGTCCATTGGTTTATTCTTCATCCCCCTAGTCTCTCAGGTTTACAGTTATAAACCCAAGCAATAGCAGTCCTCCCCCTCCAGTCAGGCCACCAGGCCTGAATTCCTGCAAGGTCATAAAGGCAGGTAAGAGTTTTCCTCAGGCAGTGATGTCAGGCTTTCCTTCACAACCCAAGGAGGGAGTGGTTAAAGGAGGAGGTCAGCTGAGAGCTAATATCGGTTAGTATATCAAAAAGGGAACTTATGTGTTCAATCTACATTCCTAGAAGTGGTTAGGTAAGAAGTCAGAAGTCTATAATGTTAGTAAGGCTGTAAGAAGGGAGGGACTGAGCTTAAACTGTGCGAAACTATTACTTGAGGTCCACCTGATCTCCGTGATGTTTTTGTGTGGAATTAACCTTAATTCAGGAGTGGTGGTCTGGACTGCTATTTCTGTTAGTCCTTAGATGTGCTAAGGGAGATACCTGATTCTGGTGCTAAAAAGGGGGAAACAGATGGGTCTGAGGGAAGGAAGCTTCTCTTGAGGCTGTTCTCCAAATACCTTGAATGTATCTATCCAAAGAGTGATCAGTTCACACTGTTTGCAATTCTTAGGAAAAAAGTCAATTGGGAAAGCTATGAAGGCACAAATGATATTCATAGCAGAAGACAGCTGATATATAATGAGCCATACAGCACCAAATACTTCCTGGGATTTGGCTTCCTCTGGAGGAATTCCTTGATCCCTTCAGGTAGTGGCTTTGCCATAACCAGCTGATTCTTATAATATATCCCTGTGGCCTGCAGCACACCAGGAAATACTGCTGTGTCATATCCTAGGTGACACTAACATAAGACAAATATGGGCATATTCAAATATTTAAATAAAGGAATACAAACATATACAGGGACCTTTTAAATATGTAAGTAAATTAATAGAAAATACAGGCATGGGCAGTGACTAAAAGAGGATAGAAAATAAAAGTATAACATAGAGCACTAAGACCTAGATGGGGAAAACTTGAAAAAAGAAATCATCCCATACTGTTGTAGTTAGGATTTCTATTGCTGTGAAGAGATACCATGACCATGGCTTCTCTCATAAAGAAAAACAATTAATTGGGTGGCTTAGAGTTCAGAGGTTCAGTCCATTACCATCATGGTGGGACATGGCGGCATGAAGGCGGACATGGTGCTGGAGAGGGAGCTGAGTTCTAGAGTCTTGTAGGCTACAGGAAACTGGGTGTGGCTTGAGCATACATGAGCCCTCAAAGCCCTCCTCCACAGTGACACACTTCCTCCAACAAATCCATGCTTACTCCACAAGGCCACACCACCATGGAAACACAGCTCTGCATGTCCATGAGAGTGCTTCCAGACATGTCTAACCTGGCCGAGAGGACCTGTTGGATGTGGGCAGTGCTGCTCCATGAGCTGGGATTCTGGACTAAACAAAGAGGGGAGGGTGAGCTGAGCACCAGCGTTCATCCTTCTCTGTTTCCCGACTGCGAATGCCATGTGACCAGCTGCCTCACGCCGCCGCGCCTTCCCCACCAGGATGGGCGGGCTGTCCCCTGAGACTGTGAGACAGACAAGCCTTCCTCTCTTACGTTGTTTTTGCCACAGCAACAAGGAAAGCGACCGCTATTCCAAGCCCTGCCTCTGACCCTAGACTGCTGGGGCACCTGGCTGTGTGACGTCACACCATCCTCACCTGACCTCGGCGCAATTGTAAAGGCCTGGTGAGACCGAAGCAGAGTGATGTGGAATTCGAAATCCACGGGACAGCTGCACTGCAAGGGGATCACGTAGCTTTTGCTGCAAAAAAAAAAAACACAAGAAGGAAGTGGAACAGGGTCGTTCTTCTCTTTCACTTTCTTCTAGCTGACCTAGAAAGGACCAGGGACTCAGGAAACACACGCAGTAACACCCAGCACCAGCTGGCACCTCCTGTCCCACACTGACCAAGAGGTCTGTCTGGAGGTAGGCTCTCGTGTAGCCTAGGCTGGCCTCAAACTTGTTTCCAGAAAAAATCCCGACAGAAGCGACTTAACGGACAATGGGGCTATTCATTTTCTCAACGCCAGGTTACGGTTCATTGTAGAGAAACTGAGGCAGCAGGATCTTGAAGCAGCGATGCCCACAGCCAAGAGCGGAAAGCAATGAAGTGATGCAAGCCTGCCTGTGCTCAGCTCTTGCTCCCTCTTACACAGTTCGGGACCCCATGCCCAAGGAGTGACGCCCCCCACAGGGAACAGGCCTTCCTGTATCAGTCGATGTAATCAAGATAATCCTCATAGACACACCCACAGGGCAGTGGGATCTAGACCCCCCAAATTAAGACTCTCTTCTCGGGTGACTCTAGATTGTGATGCATTCATGATGAAAACTAACCATCACACCAAGGCTGATCTTGAGTTTCTGGTCTTCTTTTCTCTAGCTCGTAAGTGCTGGGATTACAGGTGCGCACCGCCATGTGCACCGCCATGTGGTGCTGAGGACGGAACCCAGGGCTTTGTGAGCATAGTCCGCAAAGACTCCACCAACTGAGCTCCATCTTTGTTCACGCTCGTGGGAGAACTCCACTGTATCCATTGTGAGTGGAGCTGCTGGAACTTGCCTTCTTGGGAGGTACCCACCTGACCTATCACTGTGGACTTCCCCACCACCCTGGGCCTCACCTGCCAGCACTAGGCTTTCCTGGATTTGGAGTCCTATACAGGTGGAGTCATATGTACAGGAATCTCAGTGCTATCCCAGATACACACACACACACACACACACACATACACATACACACACAATGTTCAATAAATATTTTGATTTCAGTAACTATTTAGGAGACTATAAATGTGGCTTTTAAAAGCATGTCTAAAGCATTTATATTGGGCTTTGAAATTCATTATCTTTTAAAAATCTGTGAAGTATCTAGAATAGTTCAAAGATAAATATTTTTAAACAATCAAATTTCTTTATTCATCCCTAAGAACTCTAAACCATTTCCAAAGAAATAAAGCATCACTGAGGGACCGTCCTTGTCTATCTCTGTTTCGTCTTTCTTTGCAGGGGTGACCCTTACTGAGGATCGTTTGTCTAAAATATCTACGTATTTAATAATATCACGACATTTGATGCTTGGGAAGACATGGCCACAGGAGGAGGAGGTGGCTGGTTACGTCACATCTCCAGTCAGGGAGGCAGATGGTGAGCAATGATGGTCTTCAATGATGGTCTTCAGCTTGCTCTCTCCTTTTTACTAACCTGGGACGCAACCCCACAAGATGGTGCCACCCACAAACAGGGTGGGTCTTCCCAGCTCAGTGAAATTCCTTTGGAAATGCCCTCCCATGTAGTGGGTAGCCATTCCAGCTTCGGTCTGGAAGTTCCAACCCCCATTGAGGCTTCGATAACTGTCTCGCCTACAAGGCGGGACCAAGAGAGGGCCCCGAAGACCCGAGATTCAGATGCGCCGCCTTCTCTTGGTTCCTGGACCCTGGACGCTGGAGGTAGACCTAGCAGAATTCTCCAGAGAACACCGCTAGACTGCGCTACGTCTTCCCCAGACTCTGCAACCTACCTATCCCTTCATTTGTAAGTTACGCCACTAAATAAACCCCCCTTTTAACTACGTGGAGTGGCCTTAATAATTTCACCAATACTCCCAGGCACACCCATGTGTGTTTTCTGGGTGGTTTCAAACTTGAGTCAAATTGCCAGTGCACATGAGAACTCTCAACAGCTGTGATTATTTCCTGAGACCTGCAGAAGATACATCAGCTGATCACAAAGCCCATTCCTGCGTCAGGCACTACTAGGAAAAAGCCAGTTTCCTTCGGGGACGTGGCCTTGGTAGGCTTCCCGGGCTCTAGGAGCCAGCTCTCCACCCATGTGCACTCAGAGGACACCAAATGAACTCAGCAGGTGATATGTTTAAAAAACTGGACCAGGACATGAAGTTGAGAGGAAGATCTGGATGGGGTGCACAGGAGAAGCTGGAAGGATTGGGGTGTATTGTATACATGCATGAGATCTCTAAGAATAAAAAGTTAGCTGTCACACTGGGGCTCTTGTAAATCAGCTGTCTTAGGGGACATTGCCCCCAGCCACTGGGCCAGCAGGCAGCTCGGCCCCCTCAGCATCATAACCTGATTGTCACTGTCCTCTATCTGCCTCTATCCCCAGCTGGGTATAGGCCAGGCCCACCCAGGTCAGGGAAGTTTCTTGGCTTTCCTGCATTGGATGGAGAAGAGAACCTGTCTCCACTCAGCTTCCAGGCAAGGGCGGGTGCTGCTCCCTGGGATCAGTGGGACCGTGGCCTCCTTGATCCCACGGGAATGAGATCCACAGCTAGGAGCCTGCTGCTGCAGCCCCTGAGCCTGCTGCAGCCCCTGAGCCTGCTGCAGCCCCTGAGCCCGCTGCAGCCCCTGAGCCCGCTACAGCCCCTGAGCCTGCAGCCCCTGAGCCTGCTGCTGTAGCCCTTGAGCCTGCAGCCCCTGAGCCTGCAGCCCCTGAGCCTGCTGCTGCAGCCCCTGAGCCTGCTGCTGCCCCTGAGCCTGCTGCTGCAGCCCCTGAGCCTGCTGCTGCTGCCCCTGAG